AAAAAAAAAAAAAAAAAAAAAAAAAAAAAAAAAAAGATGGGAATAAGGGACTCTGAAAAGTCCCTTGGCATCTTTAGCATGGCAAAAATATGTTTTTTATTAAATGTAATATCAGTTCACATATCATACTAGAATTAAATATTTACCAAATCAGTATTGTATAACGTAATCGTGCTATGTTGATGTTGACCCTGTTTCAATCCATTCATTTTTAGGACGTATGGGATCACAGGTGATAATACCCTTTCGGTGTGAAAGATATGACACCATGCACCTTCGTCCCATGGGTGACCTGGGCCAGCTTATCTTTCTGGTAAAAGCCTTTAGAAATTATTATTGGAGTTGACAAATGTAAATTATTAAGGTCATTTTTAGGAGTAAGAGCCAGTATAATAAAGCAGCAGTTTCATCCCACAATGGACCAAGGGCTTCCTCTATCCAGAGGACATTTTTTCAGCTGAGTTCCTGCATCTCGTGTTTTGGCATGCAAGCTCTAGACCAACAGTTGGCAATTTTTTTCTGTAAAGGGCCAGATAGTAAATATTTTAGGCTTTGCAGGTCATAGAATCTTTGTCATAATTAACTCAGCTTTGCCTTTGTATCCCGAATGCAGCCATAGACAATATGAAAATGAATGGGCATGACTGTGTTCCAATAAAACTTTATTTACAAAATTAGGCTGCAGGCCAGATATGGCCTATGGATTATAGTTTGCCAACCACTGGTCTAGACTTGTGCTGTCCAGTGTGTTAGCCATTAGCCACATGTGGTTATTGAGCACTTGAAATGTGGCTAGTCTGAATTGAGATGTGCTGTAATTATAAAATACACACCAAATTGCAAAGACAGTATGAAGGAAATTGTATACAATATGTCACTAATAATTTTCTATATTTATTACATGTTGAAATAATATTTTGGATATATTAGAATAAATAAAATATATTATCGAAATGAATTTCACTTGTTTCTTTTTGCTCTTTTAAATATGGTCAGAAGAAAATTCAGAAAGTAGAAAATTCAGAATTATGTCTGTGCCTCATTTTATATTTCTATTGGACAGCTCTTCTATAGACAAAAAAATCACAAATACAGTGTTTTATAGCTTGGTTTACTTGGCCTAGATTTAACTTAGAACAGTCCTTCTTGAGCATTCACTGTTGTCATCCTGCTTTAATCTACAGGTTCTTTTTTTAGGCCTGTACTTGCCAATGGGGCAAGGCAGGGGGCAGATTTAACTTAGAACAGTCCTTCTTGAGCATTCACTGTTGTCATCCTGCTTTAATCTACAGATTCTTTTTTTAGGCCTGTACTTGCCAATGGGGCAAGGCAGGGGGAAGGGGGTGAGGGAGAACCTTTAAGGCAGTGATTTAAGTGTATGGGGCTCTTTTGGTTGTCACAGTGATGGGAGAACCATACTAGTTTATTAGGTAGCAGGCAGGGATGCTAAATATCCTACAGTACATGGGCAGTCCCTTTCCTCAAAATTGTGCTGCCCAAAATGCCCACAGCCATCCTATTGATTGCTGTGCTCTCTGGGCCTTAATGCTCTGGTCTACTATTCTTTTAGCTAACTTCCTACTATATTAGCCTGTATGAAACTCAGCTCTTCCATGGACACACTTTCCTTTTAAAAAAATGTTTGGTAAACATCCTTAATTATATTCACACATATTACTTGTAATCCCTTTACATTTTGACTTATTTTTAATGACATTTCATTTATTCTTTATTGAATGTTCATTAGCTAAGTATGATACTTATATTGGAAATTTCTTGTTTCTAAAAAAAATTTTTTTTTAAACCTCCCTAACAATCCTTGGTTCTTTGGCTATATTTCAGGAGGGGAGACTGATTCCTGGATTTCTGTACAAACTTGGTGATGGGGGGGAGGCAGTTGGGTGGACAAAAATTAATTTGCTCTATTAAAAACAGCTTCTTTTCTAGTTCTGTTATTTGATTACCTGAGTACAACAAACTTTGACCTATTTGTCTCCAGAAGGGTCAGAGAATCAGCAAGGAGTTTGAGACCTCACGGCCCATTTTGAAACTTGCCGGTGGGGGTGGACAGGGAAGTGTTAAGTGCCAGGGTGCATCCCTTATGTTTTTGTCTGATTGGCTACTGCTTTTGTAGGAATGGAATGGGAGAGACAAAGACTCTATCCAACGAGCAGTGCAGCACAGCAATGTGGTCATCAATCTCATTGGACGGGAATGGGAAACTAGGTAAGTTTTTGACTCTTATTTCTTCTTTGCGTAAGTCTCTCTTAGGCTTCAGTAGACATTTATTGGGCACCTTCTATATACCAGACATGGTTCATCAGTAGGGGTTGATTGAACAACCATTTATATACCCATTGAAGCCCCTTAGAAGATTTAGTTGGCACTAAGTCTGATATAGGTCAGCAGTATGATGTGCTGCCCATAAAGAGCTAGTGTGGGTTGTGTTAATGTGGCTGGTGTTATTAGCTCAGTACAAAGACCAGTGTTGGACCTGTGCATCGTTCTGTCCATCTTGGATAGGGATGGGAGGTAGTATTTTGCCTGTTCACTATTCAGCAAACTGAACGTTGGTTTTTCTTCCGTGGACAGCATTCTAGATCTCTTCTCTGCATTGTTAATTAAAGATGGTTTGAGTACTAATTTATACAGTTCTTTTTAGCCTTTTTGTGGGTTCTTTATCAACAAATAACATTTTGATCCTGTAGTTCCACAACACTTTGCTCACACCTCTCGTTTAGCATTTATTAAAGTTTGACTTAGGTTTATTTATATATAGCTGTCTCATCAAATATTTTGTAAGTTCTTTGGTGACTTAGAGGGTCTTATTCAACTTTATATCCCCTGTTCTGACTAACATGGTGCATTGTACAGAGTAAGCATTTAGTTAATGTTATTGAATTGAATTGGTGACTGACTGATTTTTTAGTATTTTTTCCCCCTGAAGAAAACACCAGTTATTCCCTTCCAGCTCCTAACACTTCCTTCCTCTCCACCAACCAGTATAGCCAGTTTTTCTGAAAGGGCCTTAGCCTCAGGATTCCTTGAGAACACAGAATGTGATGTATGCTAGGTTTATAATTTAGAATAAACCTTAAATTATGTACAGTAATGACAGCAAGCAGGCCTGTAAAATTAAAAAAACAAAACCAAAAACATTAGTTTTGGCTTTAAGTTAAATCACTGCTGTTTAAAAGTTCAACTTTTATGAATTCCAGTACTGTTATGAAAACCAGCCTATCACAGAAAGCTTTGAAATCCTGAGTCTGGAGTTCTTAACTAATCTCCCCCCTTTTTTTTCCCTCCCAGAAACTTTTATTTTGAAGATGTTTTTGTGAAGATTCCCCAAGCAATTGCTCAAGTGTCCAAGGAAGCTGGAGTTGAAAAATTCATCCACGTTTCACATCTGAATGCTGATATTAAAAGCTCTTCTAGATATCTGAGAAATAAGGCAAGTTTGAGCGTACTTCAAAAGATTTGTGGAAAAATGGAATTAAAAGATAATATGAATATTTCCGTGAACTGTTTGAAGTACCCTCATAGCAATTTGACTTGGGAAGTGGATCACAGACCTTGAGTTTCTTGGCCTCTTTGAAAAATGATTTAAGTGAGAAGGGTTTCTCATCGACATATCCAGAATTAAAAGGGTTTCTAATTCTCCATATGCAGAACTAGGTGTGAGACTGTGTTGTATTCTGAGGTTTTGGTTGAGCACCTTCTGTTTGCAGGGGCTAAGGGGCTTCAAAGATAAATAGACCATATCGTTACCATTATTACCAGCCCTCAGATGTTTAAAGTTTTTTGGGAGATAATAGAATTACCAAGAAACCATCATAAGAGGTAGAATATGATTCCTTCCAAAGGAGTCAGACCTGTGTCACCCACCTACCATGGATAAAGGACCACTTGCTTTCTCAAATCCCTGAGTAGTCATGGTTTTATGGTGCTCCTAAAGGGGTGATGTGAACACAGAATGACAGGGATAAATATTTGCCAGGAGAAATAGCTATTCACATAGTACTTAGGCTATGTGAATACTCCCAGAAACCCCATACCTAGAGATTGACCACTCTAGTTTGGAGTCAGTCTATAACCTGAAATGTCTCTGTCATCAGGGACTCAGAAGGGATATCAGTGTCTGGTATTGTCCTTAACATTTGGTTTCTGCCATATGGAAGGCTGTTTTAAGTCATGCTGATAAGAACAACAGAGTTCCTTGACAATGCCTCCAACTTTTAACCCACTGTGTTTACTTATTCAACAAATTATTTATTAAATACCTACTATGTACCACATAGAGTGTTAGGCACTGGGGATACAGTAGTAAATAAAACAGACATAGTCCTGGCTTATATTAAGTTTCTACTCCACTGGGGAAAATAATTCCAGATGTACCAAGTGTTGCAAAGTAGCAAATTGTGCCATCAGGGCATATAATAGGGGAGAGAGAGCACCTGTTCATTAGGAGCATTTAATTACTGGCCTCAGAAAATCCGATGTCAAATGGCTTAAACATAAAGGGAATTTATAGGCCCTTGTATCTAACAAATCAGGGAAGCAGCAGTAAGTAACAGGGAACCTTAGCTGCAGATTGGTGCCAGCGTTTATCAGGGCTCCAGCTTTGTTTTTCTGATTCCCTTAACTCTGACATTTTCTTCGTGTAAGCTTTGGTTCTTATGGTCACAGAGCTGGCATACACATGTCCAGGATTCACATTCTCATACTACACTGGAGAAAGACAGAAAATGAGTGGGAGCACTTGTGCCTGCCTCTGCCCTAGCATTCATAAAATCATCTGAATTTCATGATTGTTTGGAAGGGGTGGGGAGTGTCAGTGGTGAGAAAGAAAGGAGTTGAAGATGTCCTGCCCTCTGGCTTAAGCCACTGGTGGACGGTGGCACTATTGAAAGAGATAGGAAATACGTGAGAAGACTAGGGTTTAAGGCAATCATTCTCAGCCTTAGTGCACGTTATAATCACTGGTGGAGCTTTAAAAATCCTGATGCCCAGGCTGCACCCCAGACCAATTGAATAGAATTTCAGGGGGTAGAACTGGGGCAACAATATTTTTAACTCTGTTTAGGTAATTCCAAGCACAGGAAACATTGAGGAGCACTATTTTGCTTGAGAGAATGGAAGGTGATCCAGTTTTGGACTCGGGTTTCAGGTGTGTTTCAGATGTGCGTCAAGCATCCAGGTAATGGGGATGAGTGGTGTTTATGATCCTGGGGCTCAGAAGAGAGGTCGGAGTTGGAGGTATAAATTTGGGAGTCACCAGCATTTGTTGTTAATTGAAGTATTGGGAGAGGATGAGATGGCCAAGCGAGGAGGTGTGGATTGAGAAGAGAACTTTGGACTGGGCTCAGAGGAATACCAATGATTAGTGACCTGGTAGAGGAGGAGGAACCTGCAAAAACCAAACCAAAACAAACAAAAGACCGGGCAAGAGTGGACATGGTGAAGTAGAAGGGACATCAGGAGAGTACAATGTTGTAGAAGCCAACGGAAGACAGTGTCGCAAGAAGGAGGGAATACTTAACTTATGAATGCCATTGAGAAGTCAAGATAAGAACTGTGAAGTCACCTTGGATCTGTTGACATGGAGGTCATCAGTGATGTTATCAGGAATAGCTTCAGTGCAACTGTTGGAGCAGAACCCAGAGTACAGATGAGGAGTGAGTTGGCACTGAAGCAGTGGGGACAGTAAGGGTAGGCACATTCTCAAGTCGTTTGGCTTACAAGAGGGGGAAGAGAGAGAGAGGGTAGAAGCTGGAAGGCAATGTGGAGTTGGGATTTTTTTTCTTTTAAGACAGAGGATCTATATTGTTTCAGTGCAGGAGGGAAGATGCTGGTAAAGCGAGTGAGACTGAGACGTGGGAGAGAGTAAATTGGGCAGATTCCTGAGAAAGTGAAAGCACTGGTGTGGCACTCTGCTGTGCAAAGAGGAGGAGGAAATGGTGGTTCATGTACCTGAGTTTGTAGGTTTAGTGGTGAGGACTTGAGGTGGTTTTTCTCTGCTGTCTTATATTTTCTCTATGAATTAGAAAGTGAAGTCATTTACTAGAAGGAGGAGGAAAGAAGGGGAAGTCTGAAATGTGAATAGAATAGAAACTGTTTGAGATTGTCTTATGAGAGATAAATTAACTAGAGGAAAACACTATTTCTGGGAAATATTGAGGGCCCAGTTAAAATTGGTGACATGAATTTATAGTTTTTTTGTTTTTTTAATTTATTTTCTTTAGCTGCTGAAGCCAGTAGGAGTACACGGCTGAAAGGAGGTTAATGGGGCTCTTCCAAGGTTAGGATTTTACCTGGTGGGTGGAGTAAAGGACAATGGGACAAGGTAGTTTGCAATTTTGGTAAGAGAGTGATTGAAAAGATGGGCCGAATTTATTCTGGAGTACAGATGGGAGGGCAGGAAAATTTGGAGGAGCTGATACAGGGAAAGCAGAATCGGGAGTAGACAAACAAAGAGCAAGCAGGCTGGAGATTGTCATCTGAGAGTAGGATGTCTTCATTCAGTGTTTCAGAAGAAGGGCATTTTCAGTTGTTGGTACGGGCTGTGGTGTCACTGAGTTGAGAGTGGCAGAAGTGAAGTGAAAAGGAGATCATCAGAGTTGAGAAGCTCAAGAACCTGAGATGTCCAAGTCCACTTAGACATTGATGTCACCACAATGGTGCTGTGGTGGAAAGGAAGACTGAACTAGGTGCTGATACCTTCACTGAACCAGAGGGCTTGTCCAGGAGGTTAATAGGTGATAACGAGTAAGAATGTTACAGCATTTGACATCGGGAAGGTAATTGACTATCCCTGGCCTTCTCTGGACAGGTATGTACTGCTGCCACTTCCATTATTTTAGCCCACTGTCACCGTGCTCTCCTGTCTCTGACAGGCTGCTGGATGGTTGACACAAACCAGAGAATCTGTAAATAAAGGAAAATGGAGTCTGGAAAAATTCTACCCTTATTTTTCTCCTTTCTTCTTCAACATAAGCTTCCCTAGAGTAAAAATGGGAAGAAACCCATTGAAATGGGAAGAAACAAGAGCCATAAGAGACAGGGCATTTTTGTGTGTTATTTTTTAAAAAAAATTCTGTATAGTTGAGTTTTGTGAATAGTATGGTTACCTTTATCTGGAGGAAAATATGACCTTTGAAATACAAGCAGTGTCCTGACAGTGGAGAGAATGGAAACTTTGTTCATTTGTCTCAGAACTTAGAACAGTTTTGCTTGGTTGTTTGTTTAGGCTGTTGGAGAGAAGGAGGTGAGAGAAGCATTTCCAGAAGCCACTATCATAAAGCCATCGGACATCTTTGGAAGAGAGGATAGATTCCTCAATCATTTTGCAAGTACGTTTTCTTAACAGTGGAAGAGAGAGATACTGGTTGACCAGGTTGAAGTTGAGCACAAGCTAACAGTGTTCTCTGATTTGACAAACTAAGGTTATACAGTAATTCCTACATGGGTGGCCAACTGTGGTCAAAAAACATTTAAATTTGGGCCGGCCTGGTGGCGCACTGCTATAGTGCGCCGCTTGGGAAGCGCGGCGGCGCTCCCGCCGAGGGTT